GATACAATAAGAATTTCACAACAACATAATTGTTAACAAAAGTGCACATGTCAATGTTTATAGTTAAATCTAGTGTTATTCAAATAAAAGGTCAGAGTAGGGATCTATCAATGGCAATAAAACATACTCTTTTTTAATCTAAACGATAGTAAACTGATGCGTTATATAGGACAAAAGAAGATGATAGGGAAGTTAAGACGTACGTCGTATGTCAGTTAACAATACAATCACAACAAATTAAAATAACTTCATTTATGTTTTCACTATCAAAACGATTTGAATTATAGGTTATTGCTTGCTTCTATATTTTGTTTCTTTATAAAAACAACGTTATACACTGTTATGTCTATCAACATTTAATTATTACTTGTTCGCCGTACATTGTTAATGTTATTTTGGATTACATAAATAAATGTTGATGACTTGGCGTGCATTTAAAAATAATTCTTATACGCTTCATATGATTCTTTGATAACAAAAATTACGATATAATCAGCTATATATTACATTTAATCGATATAAGAACAAACACGTGTTTTGGCGTTTTTAACATATATTTTCCAGAAATAGCCGATTGTTTAATAGAACTATTTGATCATTATGAGACCTGTTAATTCACACCAGGTGCCAGCTGTTATTTATAACGGTTTAATTGTGTTTTTATAATAACATCATGTCTATGTTATATTCATTTATTAAAAAGCTTCACACTGTGTTAGAAGAACCCAACTGTTAACTTTATGTTTTATTTGTAGGTAAAGCGTCTTTTGTGCAATAAAGCGTTAGAGATTTTACAAGTTCATTCAAATATAATTTCGCATAAAGGATATATCAGTTTATATTTATGATGTTCTCTATACCTAAACAACACAAATCAGACAGAGTTGGTTTGCGTTAGATTACATTCAAGCGTCATAACCTTTCACTTGACCATTTGGAATTATATATTATGATCTCATGAACTAGGTTTGGACTATTTTGTTTGTTAATTGATTTAGCCTTATCAATAATGATTTTAAAACTGAGAGTATATTAAAAAATCTTTGGAATGCAGTTATAACACTTTATACGTTATTCAACATTTACTTTTTAGGATTCTTATTGAATGGGCACTGGCCTTTTGAACTTTAAACATACAAAGCATACAAAATGATTTAGTGTCCATATGCTTTTTTATCTTAAACATATTGAGTTATGGTCAACAAGGATATAAGAGGCATAATACATGTACTGTTTAATTGCCTATAAAGTATCACTTGTAAATTAATAGGGTCAAGGACGAAACGCATAATTGAAGTACGTATGTAATAAACTTACACATTGTATACAATTCTACATGACGACTTGCATGTATAACGTTAGTTTGCTTTTGATGTCAATTCCAAGAGAAAGATCCGATTGATGAACAGTACTTTGTTTATATCTGCTTGAAAAAGATCATCCATATTGAAATCAAAACATGTTCGTTTGCCTGGCAAATTGTCTATAACTTACAATCATGTGTTATTAGTGACAAATGATATGCTCAGAAACAGTAGAAATAATGAGGTAAACAAGTACAAATGTTGCTGCAATGCAGCAATTGAGAAGCTCCGCGCAAAAAAAATGTGCTCATTACAGATACCTTACCAAGTTATTCCTACGCACAGGTCATGTTATATTCAGATTAAGTACTATTGTAGATTTTTTCCGAATGTTTTGTAAACCATTTTTTGCACAATTATACTTATCTTATGCACTGTCCATAATTAAAAAAAGGGGAAAGATATTTAATATAAAAAATGCTTTCACTACAAAAAATAGCATTAGCACTTTGGACAGACTTTGTGAAAACAAACATGGCTGACAAAGCGGAATCACTTTAAAAGGCTACAAAATGCAGCATTCGCTGTCGAGTACGGACCCCCGAACATGTCACCAGTCATACCATTAACTTTTTTCTTTTCACAAAGTGGTATGCTGTACCAATGACGCATGTATGTGTATGTTGTTAATGTTTAATGAGGGTCCATCCGCCCGTAAGGGCACACAATTTAGCTTGCGCTGTCGAGTACGGACCCCGGGCATGTCAACAGTCATGTCCTTAAAGAGTTAATTTTGAAGCACAAAGTGGTGATAATTTACCTTTATGCAATTTCCACGGAGTATTAGCCAAAGATATGAATTTTGAGCCAAAAGTAGGTCACTGTACGGCGGTCAATGAGAACCTAAATGTACATTTACCTGTGACAATAGGAAAGGTTAGCCCTGAAAAGGGCTGTTTGCGCCAACAAAAGGCCTGCCTTTCAAGCCGTCTAACCGTGCTAGGGGCTCACGCATCCTAAGTGTCAAAAATCAGAACATTTATAGCTATTTATAGCTTTCGAATTTATGTACAGCAGAACTGCTTTCCGGTTCTCATTCATAAATATGACATGCTGCGAATCACCGACGGGGAAACCATTATAGAAATCGAAAGGAGTTCTTGAATGCAGATTTACTTTTAGCTGTAAATCGAAAGGATTTTTTGCTCAAATCCGGGCCCATGGACAAAAATAATAGTAAACACAAATAGCTCAGCGCCTGTGGGCGCGGAGCAATTATAATGCTCAATGGAAGCCATATTGAGTGTAAGGGACTTCAAGTACAGCCATGGTAGCGTAAAAACTGATTTCATTGTACACGAAATATGTAAAATTGTTTGACCGACGGCTTGTTTGACTTTTAAGGGAGAGTCTTTTTCAGAAAATCAAACCAGTCTATGCAATTGTTTCTAATGTCCACAACTCTTTAATTTGCACAGTACTATTGAAGAAAGTTAAAAAAAAGCAATTATCATAGTATTGCAAGCAATCCATAAGTCCCCTACCGGTTAGAACCCCAGGAACATTCTGATGGGCCACTGGCCATTCAATTTTACCAGTGAATGAATAACATGAATGAACTTAAATCTTTTGAGTTATAAGTTATTCTATATCACAGTAATGTGTTAAGTTTCCCTGCCTAGTAAGGAAATTATGTTTATACAACCTTGTCATATTATTACGATGTGGATTTTTAAAGTAAATCCTATAAGAAAAGAAGAAGTTGGAGTGAAAAATACCAATTTCTCGGAAGAAATCTAAGTTCAAGGGGGACATAATTCTGGAAATAGTCTTGCTAGAGTATTTAACCTTCTCAAAAATGTTGAGTGATAATAAGAAACATATATATGAAGTTTGAAGTAGATACATTAGGAAATAAAGAAGTTATTTAAAAAAGACATTTTTTTCATAAAAATTCTAATTTCAAGGGAGGTAATACTGATAATTTTTGTGCTAGAGTTGTAAACCTTGTGACATATGATGTGGTTGATGACCAGAAACTTATATTTAAAGTTTGAAGTAAACACCTTAAGAAATAAAGAACTTATAGTGAAAAAGCTGAAAAATTTAAATCAGAAATCTTGAAATTCAGGCTTTTTGTTGCCATAGCAACCAGAATTTTCAACATAGGAAGAAAAGAAAAAGATTTGCATAATCTCCAGACTGCAATCTACCGATATTTGAAGATTCATAAAGATATTTTCAGTACTTTTTGAGTTATCACTGGATCCAGTTTATGTGTTAAATTTGCCATATTTTCAGACTATTTGTTGCCAAAGCAACCAGAATTTTCAACATAGGAATAAAAAAAAGACGTGCATAATCTCCATACTGCCATCTATCCATATACCAAGTTTCATAAAAATATTTTCAGTACTTTTTGCGTTATCGCGGGATCCAGTTTTGTGGACGGACGGACTGACTGACGGACGGAGAGACAGACGGACGGACAGACAGACAGACGGACAGACAGACGGACGGAGGGTAAACCTAAAGTCCCCTCCGGTTAAACCGGTAGGGGACTAATAATAAATCCTAATATAGCTTAAAGTCATAATTATATATGAATGTATAGACTATGAGTAAAGTCATTGCGTTGTGTTCCCAGGTGGACTTAAGTGCAAATTTGGTACGGACAAAACCCCTCACATTAAAATGTTATAGAGTGGACAAAACGCCACACAAACATTTTATAGAGAGGACAAAACCCAACACCTGAAATTTTATAGACTGGACATAACCCCACACTTTATATTACTAATCTGTATAGACCATTGATTGACAATAAAATAAGTGACATTTTTCACACTTTTAATAATTAATGATAATTAAGTTTAATGAACGTCTTCCTTTTGATTTTCATTCAACAGTTTATAATATTTGTATAGTCTATTATGACTTAATCATATTGTGTTGTATATTGAAAACAGAATATAACATACCAGTAATTCTCATGATCAAAGGCACTATGTAAAATAATTAAAGTAACTCTATCAAACATTAGTAAATAATATTTATGTTCTTTTCTAACTAGATCAGAACCATATGAACTGTTTGGTATTATAACAAATAATCAAAAAGTGCGGGGTTATGTCCTCTCTATAGAATTTAAGGTGAGGGGTTTTGTCCACTCTTTAAAATTCATTTGTCACACAGTGGTGTTTTGTCCACTCTATGAAATTTTGAGGTGTGGGGTTTTGACGTGTGCGGTTTTGTCCTACATTCATTTGATACAGGCACCATAAAAGAAAAGTACATTTCTTATGTACGTCCACACATCTATCATATAAATAGCAAATTTCAGGATTGGAACATCTAATAAAAGACATAAATCCTCTTTAATGTCTTCTTGTATCATAATATGCCAGTACATATATCGTATGTTTCTTTATAATAGCACTTTACAGAAATAAATGAGGTTTTATTTTCTTGTGAAACCAGGGTCGTAAAATTCTTATAAATCGTTTGGTATAAATATTATTGACTGGACCCATCCTTCTGGAAATTTAAATAAATACGGAATATTATGTTGTAGTAGCTTTCCGAGGCCTTGTATTTTGCTACTCGCAGCGTAGTAAAATTGATATCTCGCGAGACCGAAGGTCGAGCGAGATATCAATTTTACTACGCTGCGAGTAGCAAAATACAAGGCCTCGGAAAGCTACTACAACATAATTTTCCTTTTATTATATACCTATAAATTTTTAAAACAAAAAGAAATCAATTTTATAACTTTTATCATTTATTTCACAATCAGAAACATAGATATGGAGAAATAACATTTATGAATGGCGGATGAATATATCAGTTTTTCAAAAGAGGCCACGCCTCCAACACAGTTTTCTATTTAGGAAATAGACATATGGCCGATCCATGTCGTGTCACAATACGCCGTCACAATATCAACAAACGTTTAAAAGATAACAGTTTTTAAAAGCTAGAAATGCAACTTTTGATTTGTATTGTTCCGCTTAGTGTACATGAATTATTCACTGCCACTGTCAGATTCAATTACCGGACAAATCCTTCTTCGGCGTTTGGGACTTGGTGAAATGTCATCAGTTTTCACGGATTTGTTAATAATTGTTATTGGACAATTCATTAGTCTTGCATTCTGAAGAATTTGACCAGTATGGGTTGAAACTAATTCAATTCCCGACATTGTACGGATATTTGATGAAACAGTTGCGTTAAATGGTGATTGTACAGGTGCTAGAATTTGACGAGGCGGACCAGTGGAATTGGTGAGTGATTGTTTACTTTGAGTTTGACACATCTGAATTGCATTTTTAAGCTTGGGAGGATTTGGGTTATGGGACAATATATCAGACATGTGTTCTTGCATTTCACATGATGCCTTGGCATAATTGTTTACACTTTGAACATTTCTATGGGCACTTAACTGTTGTATTGTAGTTGGTGCAATTCCACTATGTAATAGATCAGTGCAAGTAGTTTTCCTTGCACTGTGATTTGTTTTTTTGCCTTGCAAACCACACTCAATAGCCATGGTTTTCATTAACGTATTGAGCGTGTGCTCACCAAGAGGCTGAGATTTATACCATTTATCTGAACCCGGAAGTCGTTTATAGTTAATACCTAAATAAAATGGCGACTCGGGCTGACACATTTCTGTTGGCCTGTGTTGTGCAAATACTTTGTAAGCATATACAGGGCAAGTTTCTAGAGTATCATGTGCAAATTGTTTTGGACTAAAATGGCGTACTTCAGTTGTTTTCTCAGCAGTACGTGTTTTTGTTAACCTTTCATTATATTCAATGTATTCCCTGCCATGATCATTTGTTTTAATTTTAATATCCCCCCACCTAAGTTGTCTATTTTCATTTCCCCCTCGAAGCCCAAACAGAACAGTATTATTTAACCATATTAAATTCAAAAGTTTTTTTGGAGAGTCAGTCCCTGTCAGTCCCTTTTCCCGCAACATTTGTCTCTCATTAACTGTCAGGGGCTCTGCAGCATTTGGACGATTACCCTTTCCCTTGCCTTTGAGTTCCTTTCGTTTTGAAGCTAAAACTTGTCGCGATGTTGCAAATTCCTTGTCAGTTATGATGCTGTGAGGATATTTATTTTCCCTGAGGCACCTAAAAGTAAATGAAAAAATATGTGTTCAAAATTGGAATGAATTTATTTAATTGATTTGAAGTTTTGCACAATTAAAAAGTCACATAAATTGTAATCTTTTTGGATTTATGCATAATGCTACATGTAGATTTATATAAATGCAAAAAAGGGTAGAATTCCTAGAATGGACTCAAAATTAATAATTTTTATTACCAAAATTCGAATTTCATTTTTGAATATAAGAAAAAATTATTTAGTATACCATCTAAAAATAGTACAATACATAATGATAAGGTGGATTTAAAGTTTGAAAAAAAATCTTGACATACAATTTGAAGAAATGACAAATTGTGCAAAATGTTATGTCATAATATTGATTTATTATATCTTACATATGCTTTAAAATTTAACAGTGTCAGAAATAATCAAAATACAATTCAACAAATTTCAAAGTAGCCAAATGCAAATATAAAAATAGTATCTTAATGGAATTGCAGTTTGGCCAGAAATACATTCCTTTGTAATACAAGTAAATGCCTTTTTAATAGAGATCTAGTAGTAAAATATTCATGATTAAACTGGAAGCAATATTTAAGTCAAAATGTACAATTTTCATGAATTTTTTTAAATATTGTGAAGTGTAAAGACAGCAAATTGCACATTGCAAATGGCACGTATTATCTGCATTTATTATAGACTTATTGATGAAATATTGAGAAATATAGATGAAATAAAATGCGTATTTTCATGTTCTGTATTTTCACTGTAAAAATTTCTTGTTCACTGCAATGAAACATATTTTCCGTATTTTCACTGGTGTCTTGCCGGACTAATTTCTTTTAAATTCTGCATTACAAAAAAATTTAGGGAAAGTTTTTCAAATTTTAATGTCAAAAAAATAGAAAATGTATATAATAAACAGAAAATTTAAGTTTTTGCTATAAATGCATGATTTATTTTCATCTTGTGGCATGAAAATTACCATATTTCACTTGTGGCTACCCTGACATGAAATATTTATTTTTCATACCACTCGATGAAAATAAATAAAATTTAAAAAATTGAATATCCTCTATAAATTATCAAAAAAAGAGGTCAAAATATACAAAAATGTCTCTTACATTAATGGGAAAGTCATATCAGTGTAAGCGGACATAAACTGTAAATTATTACTTGAATTCACTTTTGTATTGTTTGAATCTGTTTACTTGTCAAAAACTCTTAGTTCATTTTTCTCAAGTTTGATTTTCTTAAAATATTTTGACTCATAACATTTTTAATTAACATGATCATCAGACTAGCTTAGTTACATGAACAAAAATTATGTGATTCTATGACAGTTTTTTAATATAATGATATTTTTATTTAAAGAGAAAAAACAACAGCAATCATAAATACAGAAACATAGATAATATATATATATTTTTTTTTTGCCACAGGATGAATGGAAGCTGTGTCATATGAAATGAAGACCAATCATTTAAGCACTACACTCTGCAGATTGACTCATGAATAAGTCACATAAGAATAAATGGTCAGAAGCCTGAATGGAAAAAGAACAAACCAAAACGGTTTGAATCCCTGTTTAAGATTTTTTGATGTAAAACAAGTCTACTGTATTACCTGTCAATGCCTCTGTGGTATGAGGTGAGTGTATCGGGCTCATATTCTGATCCATCAGCTTTGCGTATTGACAGCAAGAATGAACCAATGAAGTTGTCCAGTTCAGTTGGTATAATATTCCAGATTTGCCTCAACTCATTTCTTGGTGGCTCAGCAAGCCAACGTTGGAACTGACGGAGACTTGTTTCAGTTTTTTTTACAGTGTTTTTGTTTTTCATTCCTGTAACAAAGTTTTCTTTTTCTTCATCAGTTATGTTGAGGAAGGTTGGATTGTTTGCATTTGATTTGCCACAGTTTATATTATTTTCTTGCTCATCAACAATATTTTCTGGATTCTGTGTGGTACAATTTAAAGTTTCAGTGATTACTGGATTAACATTATTTATTATATTACCAGTGTCATTCATTGTTTCTTGCTGATGACAATCCAGGATGGAGTTGGCTATGTCAACACTCAGTTCACTGGCATCTGTATGTATTTGGTCAGTTTGGGAAACCTCCTCCTCAAAATCAAAGCCAAACAATTCATTAGATTGTTCAACAACATCAAAATACCCATTCTGAGTAAGGGTTAATAGGTCCAAGTCATCATCAAACAAATCGTCGGACATTTTTAACAGAAAGAGCTCCGTTACGTTTTACCATTTAGAGTAACGCCCACTACATGTATATATTACAGTTGCAGACGGTCTATAAAATCACGAACACTTTTTTTAACGCGAACGTTATTTGTGTATATTAAAAAGGTTTTGAAATTTGGACAAAATGATGGGTTTTCCACATTTGAAATGTTGTAAAAAGTGAATAAAACTCGGTAAAACATGATTGTTTATATATTTTGACAGCGGAATTTCGTTACTAAAAATAGCAATGGATTCCCCGCAAAGTGCTCTTTGCAGTATTGGTTCCCGTTTCAATACACTACGTAACGCATAGAAAAGGCGGGGACCAAACAAAAAAATAGTCCGGCACTTCCATATATGGAACCGTATTTGTCACTAACATAATACGGAATTTTCTATCCGCTGAAGCGTATTTGCGCTTCATTATTGGCGTGTATTTTAGGGAGAAAATTTATAGGTATATAATAATTATATATATATTTGAACTTAAAAAACTACAGTACTTTTAAATTCAGAAATATTGTATTTAGCGCTCCTTTGTACGGGAAAGGTATTAAAAGTTATATATTTCATGGTGTTTTAGTTGTACGACAAGGAATTTAGGATCGAATAGTCCATGTTAAGTGTTCTAGCAGAGTCACAACTTATTTCCATCATCAAATTTACTATTTATTTACTATTTCTACATTGCTTTGTTTTACTTTATCCGAGCGTAAATGTATACACCTGTATCTCATCTGTCTGTAGTCTACACATTTGTGTTTGCATTTTGAAAACAATAAGATTAAAAAAACGTCTGTGTAAAAAATATGCTGGTCGCTTTATTAGAAAATGATGCAAAGAGAATCATTGCTGAACGGTGTCCCGGAAAATTTTATTTTGTTAACGCGCAGTTTTCATGTCTGTTAAATAACAAAAAAAATCATTATTACAACTTGAGAATCGACCATAAGGTTATCAAAACAACTTATTTTTACTGTTTATAAATTTATACAAAATATTTTATATATAGTTTAATGTGTACCTTAGAGAACGTCATAATTCAATGAAACAATAACTTCTTTGCTTTAGCAATGAAAAATACTCCCCAGGTAGATCTATAGATGGATTATATTATATTACTCCTTGAAGGTAGCGAAACCTACGCCATAAATGCAATTACTTTTACTTTTTATCAATTATTTGAATCCTCCAGTTTCAATTGAAATCAGTTTATTTATCAAATGTTATATCCTTACGTCTGAAACAAAAAGTTACATCTGTGTACTATATATTATATCATAATGTGTATTATGCCATAACGATTATGAAAATATCAAATGATATTAATTATAATATTATATTAATACACGGCAATGTAGATCTGGAAAGTGATCATTGGGCTCAACCTTTTTAGAAGGCTGCTTAAATGATTTATGGTCCCGACGGCGTTAGGTCTAGGATCATTATTCATTATGCGCCGATAATTACTTTCAAAGCCCATCTCTGGCGTTAATTTACATTTGTTGAAAAATAGGGGTTTTCTTTTTAAACAATTTCACTAAAAATGCACTGAAGTACATCCAATCGCTGCTTTTAATTTGTATCTCGCATTAATCCATTATAGGTCTTGTTCTGAACACCCTATAGACCAGTATATCTATATTAGATTATTGAGAGCATATGATATTTGATAATTTATGCATACATAAAAGTAGATGTGTAGAAGAGTCATTTCGCATAAAGGGAAACAGGAAATAAACCTACAAAAGACATGCCTAATGAGGATGGAATAGGTAAGAACAAAGTGTAGTATTGATTTCATGTAACTTACTATTTGATATAATTCTGCAAAAATATATGAAATATTGGGAGTCGTACAAAGATTCAGTAACCATACGACAGATGCTTTTCAATTAAGGTGTCTCCAAATAACTACGCTGAGCCTACAAAATATATAATAGTACTAAAGAGACTAAGTATAATGATAAACTTATAAAGCCTATAAATAAATTGCAATGCTTTATATTTATTTGAATGTGTGCGTCAGTTGATATTGTAATTATTGCAGTACCAAAAAGACAGAGCATCTTAAATGAATTGCCAATACATTCCTAGTTGTTCTCATTTTTTTGTCATTCGTTATTCTTACAAATTTTTAAGATAAAATACAAATTAGATCTCAAATACAATTACCACTGAAATAAATAATTATGTCAGACATGGGTCAATGGAACACTGACACTTGAATAATTGCTGACCAGAGCATCTTTGATATTCACGTTTCCGTTCCTTTATATCAAATGTGTTTGCATGATAAATAGACGGAGTTTGTACAAATGAACGTCTCTACCATGTCATGCATTGTTTCGTACTTTGTTGTAGACGTTCTCATTTTGTTTCATCAAAAAAGGAAATATTTAACTACGATAGGTTTTGATATTTATTTATGATTGATAGAAAAAAAACAACTCTATGTAAATACACATTCACTTTACTTATATAAATTGGTACAGTGAGTTAGCCAATAGCGGATCATAGCCAATAACGGGTCAGTCAGTAATTTAATAAATTATTTTACTTAATGTTTTGAACTTAAAAGTTTTATAACCTAACAGTCATGTGCATTTGGATGTTAGCCCCTCGACAGCGAAAAAACAATGTAAACATCCGGATAATTCTAATCAGATTCATTCAGATGCTTTACCAAGCGTTTCCGTTTGTCGCGAAATATTGTGCCAGTAACAACACAAATTCGCAGTCGCTGCTTTATTGCTGAAAAACCCCAAAAGATATTGGATCAAAGCTGGTAGGTATTTGATGCCCAATATGTTAACTATCTGCAGCAGCAGCCGTTTAAAAAATACATGAGGAATTATAGTGATAGCGCTGGTCAATTAAATTGCATCACTTTGTCCAATAGCGGGTCATGCAATTTTCCAGGAAGGGACCGCCTCAAAGTTATTCAACAGGTTTTAGAAAATATTTTTTAAAGCAAATTTTGGTTTGTATACAAAAAAATATAAAATTTAATTTATTTATGTTATTATTGCAAGTGAATGATGCAGTCCATGCTAAAATATGGTGTTTTATGTAGTATAAACTGCTGCAACATTGAAATACTGTTGTTCTAGACTAGATTCTAAAATATTATTTTTAACTGTGCAGTAACTTCTTTATTTTTAAGTTATCCATTTTTAACTTCAAATACATGTTTTTATCATCACCCACAGGATGTGTGACAAAATTTATTACTTTAGCACACATTTTTTTACAGAATTATTTCCCCATTGAACTTAGAATTTTGTTTAAAATTTAATAAAATTTTTTTTTATTATTATTATTATTTCTTCTTCATTTCTTGTGGTATCTACTTTTATCTTCAAATGTTTGTTACTTATTATCACACACATCACATGTGATAGATCTATCACTCTAGCATGAATATTTTTGTAATCACCACCCCCCCCCTCCCGGACTTTTGGTTATTGTTCTTTGTCATTACTCACATCATGACATGACAAGCTCATTTGTTTACTTGTTTCATTGTTTCAGATTCTAATGCCTAAGGGAAAGAGAAAAAGTGTTCAATGTAGTCCAGCCCAGAATGCAGCCTCCTCAGTGGTAAAAAAATACAGAGGGAAGCGAATGAGTCCTGGGAAAGTGCAGAGTGAGACGAGCCCTATACAGTGTAAGTAACAAGAGTATGTCACTAAGAAAAGCTGCATGTGAGTATGGACTGTCATACGGGTTTTTGCAAAGGAGATACAGTGGGGAAACAGACATCAACACTATGAAAGGTCCTGCTACTGTTTTCACTGAACAGGAAGAAACATCTATGGCTGAGTGGTTTAGTGAGATGGCCCAGAGAGGCTTTGGCCTCAGAATGTGTGAGTTTTTAGACTTTGTTCAAGGCATTGTTAGAAAAGAGAAGCGTAAAACCCCATTTCTTGATGGGAGACCTGGTTACAGCTGGTATCAAGGATTTAGGAACCGGAATGCACACATAATTGGTTTACGCTCAGAAACACCTCTTGAACTGAAGCGTTCAAAACTTTCAAAAGAGACACTTGATGAATGGTACACAAATTATAAGGATTTCCTGATCAGTAAAGGTTGTCTGGAAAAAACCAGGTTGTATTTGGAATGCGGATGAAACTGGCTTCATTATGGGTGCAAACAAGAGCAAAGTTATAGGTCCATCCCGTAAGGATATTCCTGTGCCTCAAATAAGTGCTGGAAAGCAACGTCTAACTGTGATGTACTGTGGCAATGCTTCAGGACAAATGATGCCACCATTTTTTGTTTTTCCTGAGCCCAAGCCTAGAGCATATGACCCATTAAATGGAGCTCCAGAAGGAAGTTATATTGCCTATACGAAGAAAGGCTGGATGGACGGCACAACATTTTCAAAGTTCATTGATCACTTCGATAAGTTTGCTGGTGTTGAGCGACCTGTTGTGTTACTATTAGACAGTGTTGGCAGTCACATTAGCCAAGAAGTGTTTAGTACAGTTAAAGTTAATGAGTATTTTGTATTAATTTACTTGCTTTATCACAAATGATTTTATATTCAAAGGTATTTTTATCAGATGATAAGCATCTCATATGATATAAATCCATATTACAACATATTTAAACTCATTTTTGCACTTTCGACAGAATTATTAATCTTTCATACACATAATGTGCCTGTAAGTGACTGAAAATTCATATTTTTTTTAACCAAGCAAGTATTGTTTAATGATCTAGTCAATATTGTTTTACATCATTACATGTATTTTTTTAGGTTTGACATTGAACCAAGTCAATATTGTTTAATGATATTAAGTCAATATTGTTTTACATAATTAAATGTTTTGTTTTTTTAGGTTTGACGTTGAACCAAGTCAGTATTGTTTAATGATCGAGTCAATTTTGTTTTACATAATTACATGGGTTTTTCTTTAGGTTTGACTTTGAACCAAGTCAGTATTGTTTAATGATCTAGTCAATATTGTTTTACATTA